TATTTAGATATTGGATCAGAAAGAAACACAATTTTACCAGGTGAATTAAAAAAAGCAATATTAACACACTCACAATCAATAAATTTTTACGGGTCTTTAAACCCAATTTCGCATCGTTATAAAGCGAAAATCGGTTATAGTAGTTCGGTTTATCGAAGTTTGACTGTATATCTGAAAAGAGGCGAATTTTCATTCCCCAAAGGTATTAATTAAATCAAGTGAAAAAAATACAATATTGCTGTCGTCCTACCATAAATCATCTACTTATGTAGTCCTAAATCACTCGAAATGAATGCTGTGACTCGAAACGCTTAGTTTAGGTTTAAGTAGGTTCTTTATTGAAACTGTTTAGGGAGTTTAGGGTCACATCCCTGCTAGAAATAAACAAAACCCTGGTCGAAGCGCTGTTATCCATTATTTCTCTTGATCCAGGTGTGGGAACTTTCATGGCTGGATATAGCCAAGTGATGAAGTTATAGAATAGAACATAAAGTAGATTCTATTACCTATGCTTGCATCGTCATGATAGAATCCAAAGTGAAAGGGGTTCTATTCATGGTAAAGCAAACAGGCACCAGATCTGCTAATCTTGTGGATGAAATGTCATCAAAAATTTGCAAAACGGTTACGCAAAAATCACAACACGGCTTTGCTCCATGAGTTTAAAACACAAGACATGGTCAAAAATGATTATAGTTAGAAATGCCGAATGTTGATCTGGTCACGTTACTGTTTTTCGGATATGGGGCCCCTCATTCTAATACACTTTTAAAGTACATAACGGAAACACAATAACCGACATTTGACTTGCACCCCGAGACACCTTATTATAGACTGTCTGGAATTATAGGTTCAACGTAAGGGGTTAGTAGTAATTTTTTAAAAAAATCACGCTCAAAATACGATGCGGATCTTTTGTACCATAAAGTTTTATCATAAATTTCGTTTATTGTTGTTAATACCATCGATTAAAGATCGTTTTTATTGTCTTTTAAATAAATAATCCAACAAATTTTCTAACAATTCCTTTCTCCTGGAGATCTATAAATATTAATATAAACGTTAGTTATCAGCATCATGTTTGTAAAAATAGTATGCCTATAAATAATGTTCATTCACCTATATGGAACACCCAATGCATCAAATATTTCAATTTCGGTTTTTTGAGCAATTAAAGTACCCTCCGAATATTTTATTGCTCCATTACCACGAATTATATTTCCATATAATCCATGATGATTTAATCTCATTTTCTACACAAATTATAAATAACGAAATTAATGAAATTATCGAGAAATTTTGTAAAAACTATTATAATCAATATAATTTACTTTTTTCCTGGCTAATAATCTCATACTTCTATTAAACAAATCATTTCCCGTGTAAGATAATAAAGCTGCCCCGATTTCATTGTAAGGAACTGTGAATAAATCTAATCTTCGATTTTTTCCACCAGGTAATTTACAAATACCACGATACCTTTCTGAAAGCGATTCTTTACCATGATGTTGTGCTAGGTCATGCACGATGATAGACTCTCTACGCAAAATAGGGAGTAACTTTGATAAAATACCTTTTTTTAAATATATTAGATAAATTAGAAAAAAAAAACTACAACTACAATTCAAAAATTCAAAAATCAACACACCTAAATGATTTTTTCCTTTAGAATCATTTTTAGTTATCATAATATCACTTTTTTTTAATGATTTAAAAGCTTTCGATTCATTTCTAATTATTTGTTCAAGAAAATTATAAGCATTGACTGTATTCCTTTATTGTAATATTATATAGGAATATTCGCACTACTTTCCTCCTCTTCTTAATCTCTTCCTTAATTACCATTTCGTTATTGGTTACTCTATCATCAATTGATATGTTCCCGCGCAGTTAATGGCGAAATGAAAGAAAATCTATTTATTAAATTTTTAATATCACTTTCTATTATTAAATTAGATTAGCTATATTCACAACCTCTACATTGTCCGGCAAAAGAAGAATACAGTCCTCTTCCAGCAATTATTAATGGTAATTGGAGTAACGTTGTCCCGAGCTTCTGCAACAAATTATACGGCCTTTTTAATATCAAATTCTTTAGAGTTTTTACCTTCATGTTATCTATTTTCTCTTAGTCAAATAAATAAATAAAACATTATCTTTTTGTTGTTATTTAAATCCTTTTCTTGGATGTGAATGCATTTGTCGCCATAAATTCCATATGTCTGTTACAATTCATGATGAATATCAATATGCATTATATATATTCCTTTTATAAATAAATTAAGTAATATCAAGATCATGCACGAACAAAACTTTTAAGGAACCGATTTTTGAAATATCCTGATGAGTAAAAGATGAGAAATTCAACAGAGTTGGAAAACAAAACCCTTGATCTTCTTTTTCGCGTGGGACGATGGTCACATCCAGGGTGTCGCGGAAAATTTTTTAGTGATTGAGTGTCTACTTGGTTCCCTTTTTTTGTGTGTATGTACACTTCCAAATTGCATACAAGTTGTAGAATTTTTAAAAATCATTTCCAAAAAAAAAAATAAAGATAAAATAAGTAGGCAGAGTTGGCATTGGACAACATCCTGGATATGTTCAAGGTATATTGAACTTGGCATTCTTGATGATAATAAATCTGATGATGGTGGTTATGGTAATTGATTGTCATTTTGAGTTAATGATTGGAGTTGGAGTTGCTTGGGTGAAGAAGGTTGTGGTTGTTTGTGATGTTGTTGTTGATCCTACACTTGATGGAATTATGTATTCGATCTACAGTTGCAGGGTAACATGTCAACCTTTATCACATGTGTTAGATTTAATAGGCTTCCTCATTCAAACATGCAAACACTGTGCAATTAAGCACCGTGGAATTTCTCCACAGGTAAAAGAGGGATGAACAAGCCGGATAACTTCAGACAAGCGAAATGCTTTAATCAATGTTGGCATTTGACTATTAGCGGCCAACATTATTGGCCAAAAATGGCCAGAATGGGCAAAACAGCAGTTTTCCGTATGAGATGTAGATCTCCAACAGTCGTGTTGCCTTTTTCATCTCTGATGTTTCTTAGTTCTTATGATCGTTTTTTTCTAGTCTGACATTCATTTTTATATTAAAATTTTTTAATTCATGATAAAGAAAATATCTCATTATTTTTATAATGAACTTGATGATTAATTAATGTAAAGAAAAACTTTCTAACAAATACCCTTTCATATTGAAAAGACGTTCTTCATATCAAGCTATAGTTATTCAAAGATGGTGTTGCTTTTTCACTTCAAAGCCGAGATTATTCAAAGTATCTAATGATGTATGACAAAACTTTTTAGTCATTGACGTAACTAAAGTATTGACTAAAGGTAGTCTCTCACCAGGATTATTTTGACGATTTGACTAAAGCAAAAGCACTTGACGTAATTAAAAATATTTGATGCAAGTAAAAATGCTTGATACAAGCAGCAATAATGATAATAATAAAATAGGATTATCAAAAGTTTAAAATGTGTGCCCGAGACGAATAAAGAATTATTATATCATTCTTTGTATATTGCAAGAAGAATAATTATCATGGGAAGTTTATAAATGTTATAATTTAAATTAGAAATTTTACTTTATTAAATTACTTATTTTTTTCCTCTTTTCTACAAATTAAAACCATTCTTTTATTATTACATTTCATAAAATGTAAATGTTTTTTCGAATTTTTAACTTTGAAGTTAACTACGCGTAATAGTGATACGCAATAATAATATTAGTATGCTTGAGCTGTCTTTTGTGTCTGAATTTGAAATAACATAGATTGATCAATATTGGTACTTAGAACGAACGACCTTTACATAACACATAAAGACAGGTTTTGATACATAAGTTTTAATTTTGTTTTCTATTTTTATTATCACTTTTAAATCTTCAAAGAATTTCTTTTATTATTGAATCACGATTGTTCTTCAAATAAAAAATGTTGTACGAAAAAATTGTTGCTAACAATATTTTTTATTTACATTTAATTGCATTGGGTTCTAATAATTAAAAGAAGGAATCGATGAATGACAATTTAATCTCCACTATAAATTATTTGTTATAATTATTTGTCTTTTTATTTTATCTTTTTTAAAGCTAAATTATAATAATGTTTTGAAAGAATAAACTTTTTGATTCTTGTTAAATTGTGGTTAACAATTATGGCTTAACTTTTGACTACTCTTGGCAGTTAATTCGGCGCTTGTCAGTTAATTAATTTACAATTTACTTTGGTTTCCTCTTTCTTGCACTTAGACAAAACTGTGGCACACTTGATGGTGCCAGATAATTGTAAATAAATAAAGAGTCTTTTACAAAACTCGAGAGCTTCTATAAAGTTCTTTTTATTCACTTGTGATCGATTTATTCGTTTGCATTTATTGACTCGCTTTGGTTTACTTGAAAACAACCAAAGTAGCTTGTTTAACAGCCTTACGTTTACAATTACAATAACGTTACCAGTATTTCCAATTATACCTTTGAGCGATGCTTCATTAACACTCACCAGATAACCAACATTAATCCTAACCTTGCTTGCTTGTTCACTAAGTAAATAAACGTGGCTTTTTACCAAAGCTCCACAATTGTTACCTTTTACCAAGACATTAACTACACTTGTTGCTTTTATCAAGGCGCTTTAAACAAAGGAAATAAAGACAAGATTTTTGTTTAACAATTAATTTTATTTAATAAAAATAATGATTCTATCAGAGTTTTATTTTATTAGAATGTTGATTATCCTCTGCGAGGACAGAAGTTATCTTTATGAAATTTTTGTAACTTATTGATACGTATTATAATTATTTACATAGTGATAATAATTAATACACTAAAATTAGAACATAAAATACCGAATCCCTAATTATCTGCCCAATCATGTATTCAGCAAAAAACAAAGGAGGGATTGGGATACACGAGAAAAATATAAAAAAAGACCTTGGAATATATATTTATAAGTTTTTTTTGTAAGCTTTTATATATTTTATTAGCCTTTAAAACAATTTTACTTGCGTAATTTTTGACTTAATGACAGCGAATTTGACGTTTTACAATTTTGGTGACATTTCGTCAAACAACATTGTTAGTATCATTAAAGGACTCAATAGGTTGGCTAAGAAGGTATAAAAATACTTTATGCTTTTATGTGGTTATTACTTTATAGGGTATCTGTTAATAAGTTTTATGAAAAAAAATTCAATACTTAGACCAAGGAACAATTAGATACTTGGCCACTAATACTTGAGTGACAATGTAATGGAACCATTTAATTGTTGAAAAGCCAGATTAGAGTATATCAAGCTATCAGGTGTATTTGGTTGGCACTAGGTTGATAAAATCAACGAAAATAAAGTCGATTTGAGTAGCTGAAAATCTAAAGATAAAATTGTCTTTAGACTACAAAATCGTCTTTAGTCTTAATCGATTGATGGACGAAACACAAAAGTTGACCTTAGTCACAAAAGTCAATAAAGTATAACTATTTTTGCCATTATTAATAACTTCTTCATTCTCTCCTTCTTCGCCATCATCATCATCATCTCTTTTTATTAACTCATTCCTGAATTGCATCTATCGTTTTCTTCTTAGAATTTGTTTTCTTTGGTCCATAAGGTTGGAATATTGATATTGTGCCATTGTTGGTTGACAAGAGCACAAGAATATAATGTTTTGTAATCATTTACAATATTTCAGTTAGAAGTTCCACTGGCAACCTTATAATTAAAAATAATTTATTTTGAATATTAAAACTAGAGTGACGGCGAGTAGCGATAGCCACCACCACCATTCTTTTGATAAACACTTACCCAGCAATTTCTTCTCGATTATTTTCTTTAATTCGTTTTCTGTTTCCTGATAACATTTTTCCAAATCATATTTAATAAAAATTATTTCGTTAAGCCGAATTTCTACTTGATAAACCGACTTAATGACAAAATAATAAAAATGTAACCTTCCAAGCCGAATATGATCATAACTGGTTTTAAAATTCGTCTTGTGATGATAAAATTCGGCTTAAAAATAATGACATCTACTTTCTATAAAATTTCTACTTTAACCATGTCAAGTCCTAATAAAAATAGTACGAAAATTACCAAAATTTAGAATAATATTGAAATTGGTAATGTTGAAGTTGAAATTGATACTGAACAAGTAAATCGTGAAGTTCAAGATTTAATTAACTAACTCCCATTTGATGATTCACCTTTAGTGGACGAGTATTCAATATTGAGAATAACATGGTTGCAGGTGAATTAGTAATGGAAGGCGAGGATATTATTGCATTAATTCAACCAACAGAAATAGATGAGCAACAGGATGAAACATTTATTCCAGAAATTTCTACTACAGACACCATAATGTTTTAGTACACCCTCTAAGTCATTTCGATGTATGCGAAGATGAATTAAAGTGCATTCGTGCTCTTGGAAAAAATTATTAAGTCATAAGATTAATAGTTCGGTTTAACTGGACGGTATTGATAAAACTATCACATAAACATGTTCAGCTATAGTACCAATCTATTTTAGTATGGTTTGTTTTCCTATAAATTGGATTTTAAGTGCTTTCTTGAGCCGAGGATTATTTTTAGAAGAAGAAGGTGATGAAGCCGAATATGAAATTACATCTTCCATATTTCATCTGGTAAAAGGGGAATATGATTTAAATCATCAGGTGTTGGTTTAATTTAATCAACTGCTGGACTCTCTAAAGAGTCACCCATTTACTTGGGTACGGTAATCCACTAGCACCCTATAAATACTATAAGGAAAACATACTGAATATGCGCGAGAAAATACATTCCGTGTGTTTTTTTTTCGGTATTTAACGCACCATTTAATATTAGTATTAGATAATAATAATAATAATAATAATAAAGCTTATATTTTCCGTATATTTCCGTACGTATGCAAGCTTTCAGTATTAGTATATACAGGAAGATTCGGTAAATTTTCTGCATGGTAAAAATGAAAACACACCAGATTGTGGAAGATTGCACATAATTTAAGGACAATTGTAATGTTTTTTGATTATTTGGGTAAAGATTTACAATTTTTTGATTGTATGTCGACATTTTAACTCTACTTCTCTCTTCTTCCAGATCGTAATAACAAAAATTATAAATTCCAAACAACAACAACAACAACAATAGTACTAGTAGTGCTAAATAATCTTGATTTTTCAAAATTTAATTGTTATTAAAAATTTATATTTTTAATAAAAAATATGCCGAAAATGCCATACAAAAGTGATTGGATAGTTGCACTTTTAGGATATCTTAAAAGCCCAAGTATTTTTTAGCGTGTTATTTATCCGTCGAATTTACGATATATTAATATTATGAATATGTAAAACGTATGCGCGAGAGTGTGTGCGAGAAGTATATGTGTGTGAGAGATAGAAACAAATCATACATTACCACTGATTGGGATTTTTAATTAACAATTAAGCGATTTTTTCTTTGATCTATTGTTTCTTTGATACTAATAATGATTATAATATAATGATTATAATTAAAATGTATATATATATGTAATTTTTTCATGAGAAATTAAATGTCAAAATGACATCCATTTCAACTAATGGTCGTCAATTAATAATAGAAAAAGAAGAACAGGGAGAAGAAGAAAGGAAGAAAAAAGAAGAGGAGGATTCATCTATAATTAAATCACCTTCATCGCCGCCATCACCCTCATCATCACTGTCCTCTCAAAATTCTGACCCAGAAGGAAAAGAAAAAGAGAAGGATGCGAATGTTGTAATAGAAAGAACATCTGTAATTTCTATAATGTCATCGTCATCACCATCGACAACTACAACAACTACAACAATGAATTCGATAGCACCATCCACATCAACATTTTTTAGAATAGCATCGAATAATGAGGAAGAGGAAGAACATTTTAACCAAGATAATAATTGTAATAATGAAGATGATGATGATGATGGAAAAGATTATGATTGGTGACTATTAAATTGTTTAAGTTAATTAATTAAATTTAATTAAATTTCTAACCTTGGAAATTTATTTTTAATTGATAGTAACAAAAATAATAACAATGACAATATTAGCAATAGCAGTAATATTAGTAATAGAAGTAGTAATATTAATAGTAACAACAATGTCAGCTGTAGCAGTAATATTAGCAATCTCAATAATAACATCAATAGTAGGATCGACGAGAAGTTGATGTCCAAATTAAAGATGGAAATAATGGAATCGGTAATCAAAGAACAAAATAATGTCAACAGCATCAATAACAATAACAAATCAAAAAAATTAAAATATTCAATAAATAAAATGCTTCAACAAAAATTTGAACAGTTGAGAATAGAATTGAAATCGATTTTCAACGAAGTAGAAAATTTGAAAAAAGATATAGAGATAATAATTAAAAAAGATATAGAGATAATAATTAATAATAAATTGAAAGAATTCAACGAGATTAATAATAACAATTTTGAAATTTTGAAAATGGAAATATTAAAGATCATCGATAAAGAGTTGATTGAATATAAAATAATTGTTAATAAAATAATAGAGAGACAAATTAATTTAAAAAATAACACAATAAACGATGACAATAATGATGATAGTAGTGGTTCTGAAACTTGCGGTAATAATCGTAAAAATAATCTAAATCTAAATCTTAACCTTGATCATAGTAAACTTAGTCATGATAGTAATAACGTTGGTGATTATTATTTAGACGAGTTGGAAAATATTAAAAAAGAAATTATAAAAATTAAAATATTAATCAAATTAATTATAATGTTTGTCATAGCATTAATTTTATTAAATTTTATTATAATGTAAGTAATTAAAATTAAAATTTGCAACTTTGTTCTTTATTAATTTATTAATAATCATATCTACCTACTTTTTTTTTCTTAGGTTTAAAGCCAATAATAACTTTATCAGAATATCCACCGATTTTCTACCTTCACCTTTGTAAAATTCATTAATTTAGATTATAAAAATGGCATTATATTTATATCTCTACTAAACACATCTATTACTATGCATCTAATCAAATTTTTTATGATTCATGTAAAATAATCATTATCAAATATAGTAATTTAACATCATAAAATAAAATCGTTAATATTCTTTAGTCCCATAAAGTTCGTCGTCGCCATTTTTATTTTGATGAATCTCACTTAAAGATTCTTTTCTTTTGAATTATTAAAAAGGGCGAACTCAGACTGTTAAAATAAATAGCTAGAAAAATAAATTCATGTTATATGTATATGAAAGGACTTATCTTTATCATTGCCCAAAGAAAACAAATTCTAAGAAGAAAACGATAGATGCAATTCAGGAATGAGTTAATAAAAAGAGATGATGATGATGATGGCGAAGAAGGAGAGAATGAAGAAGTTATTAATAATGGCAAAAATAGTTATACTTTATTGACTTTTGTGACTAAGGTCAACTTTTGTGTTTCGTCCATCAATCGATTAAGACTAAAGACGATTTTGTAGTCTAAAGACAATTTTATCTTTAGATTTTCAGCTACTCAAATCGACTTTATTTTCGTTGATTTTATCAACCTAGTGCCAACCAAATACACCTGATAGCTTGATATACTCTAATCTGGCTTTTCAACAATTAAATGGTTCCATTACATTGTCACTCAAGTATTAGTGGCCAAGTATCTAATTGTTCCTTGGTCTAAGTATTGAATTTTTTTTCATAAAACTTATTAACAGATACCCTATAAAGTAATAACCACATAAAAGCATAAAGTATTTTTATACCTTCTTAGCCAACCTATTGAGTCCTTTAATGATACTAACAATGTTGTTTGACGAAATGTCACCAAAATTGTAAAACGTCAAATTCGCTGTCATTAAGTCAAAAATTACGCAAGTAAAATTGTTTTAAAGGCTAATAAAATATATAAAAGCTTACAAAAAAAACTTATAAATATATATTCCAAGGTCTTTTTTTATATTTTTCTCGTGTATCCCAATCCCTCCTTTGTTTTTTGCTGAATACATGATTGGGCAGATAATTAGGGATTCGGTATTTTATGTTCTAATTTTAGTGTATTAATTATTATCACTATGTAAATAATTATAATACGTATCAATAAGTTACAAAAATTTCATAAAGATAACTTCTGTCCTCGCAGAGGATAATCAACATTCTAATAAAATAAAACTCTGATAGAATCATTATTTTTATTAAATAAAATTAATTGTTAAACAAAAATCTTGTCTTTATTTCCTTTGTTTAAAGCGCCTTGATAAAAGCAACAAGTGTAGTTAATGTCTTGGTAAAAGGTAACAATTGTGGAGCTTTGGTAAAAAGCCACGTTTATTTACTTAGTGAACAAGCAAGCAAGGTTAGGATTAATGTTGGTTACCTGGTGAGTGTTAATGAAGCATCATTCAAAGGTATAACTGGAAATACTGGTAGCGTTATTGTAATTGTAAACGTAAGGCTGTTAAACAAGCTACTTTGGTTGTTTTTCAAGTAAACCAAAGCGAGTCAATAAATGCAAACGAATAAATCGATCACAAGTGAATAAAAGGAACTTATAGAAGCTCTCGAGTTTTGTAAAAGGCCATATTTATTTATTTACGGTTATCTGGTATCATTAGGTGTGCCCACAGTTTTGTCTAAGTGCAAGAAAGAGGAAACCAAAGTAAATTGTAAACTGATTAATTGACAAGCACCGAATTATTTGCAATTAACTGACAAGGTTAGCCAAAAGTTAAGCCATGATTGTTAACCACCATTTAAAAAACTGTAAGAAGTTTATTATTTCAAAACATTATTATAATTTAACTTTAAAAAAGATAAAATAAAGATAAAATAAAAAGACAAATAATTATAACAAATAATTTAGGAGATTAAATTAGTTATTCATCAATTCCTTCTTTTAATTATTAGAACCCAATGCAATTAAATGTAAATAAAAAATATTGTTAGTGATGATTAATGGATAGTGATTTCTAATTAATTAATAATGAAATTTTTATTCACCTTCAGCATTTAAGAGGAGAGCGTTAAAATCAAGATTGTTTAACGAACTATCATTACTTGTATAAAATTTCAAGCTTTTTGATTTAGCAATCTCTTCATCCAAGATTCTACTTGTATGATATGCATCTGGGTGTGATTCGTATACTTGTTGCGAATCACTATTACTACCACTGCTGCTGCTACCATCATTATTAAAAAATTTGAATAATCTATTTATTAAATTATTATTGTTACTATTATTTTTCAAAATTTTATTTTCATGAATTTCCCTATCTTTATTATAAGCAAATATCAAAAGCTCTTCACTAGTTGGTCTTTTTGATGGATCCACATCCCAACACCTCCGCATCATTTGCACATAATCATCAGGCATTCCAGGTAATATTGGTGGTCGTAAACCTTTTGCACATATATCAAAAATCAAACGATGATTGTGAGCTCTATTGTCAAATGGTGGGTGACCTGCAAATATTTCCCACATTAACATCCCAACACTATAGATATCTGATTCTTTGGTGTTCTTTGTATTAATTTTGCCTCTAAGTAGTTCAGGTGCAACATATGATACAATCCCATAGACTTTATTTGATGACTTTTCATCAACTGGTCCACATAATCCCAAATCTGTAATATAACAATTACCTCCTTGCACAAGTATATTACCACTATGTAAATCACAATGGATTAAATCTTTTTCATGTATACTATTTAATGCACCACATAAATAATAAAATATTGTAATTCTGTCTTTTAATGTTAAATTTAAGTGATTTTTTTGTAAGTAACCCCTTAAATTTCCCTCTAAATAATGATTTAAAACCATTGCATAATTTCCATTATCTGGGAATTTAGTTATACCATAACATTGAACAATCAATGGTGCTTTAATTTTAGAATAATTCATCGCCTGTAATTAAATATAAAAACCAATTAGTATTTTATTATATAATACAGTATTGTTTATTTTGTTTAAATGACAACTACCAACCTCATCAAAAAAGGCTTTTCCTGGATTACTTGAATCATTTAAACTTTTTAATATGACATATTGCCCTCCTCCTAAATAACTAAATTCCTTTTTATTTTCATTGTAATCATTAATACATCCTCTTGTCCATTCCGCAGTATAAATTGAACTAAACCCGCCTTCAGTTAACTTTGTTACTTCTTCAAATTGCTCAAAAGGTATCCATTCTAAAATATAGCGTGGCAGAGATGATTTCATTTGACATTGCTGAATAAAATCATCAATTATGTTATTTCCAGATGTCCAAGTGGTGAAAAGACTCTGTAATTGTAATCTAATACAACCTTCACAGAACCTATTAGAGTATCTTGTCAATTTACATTTGTTGCATTCTTTTTGTTTCCCCTCTTTATATGTTGCATTTTCTAATTCAAAATTATAAATATACCTTTCTTTACAATATTCTTTTTCATTTTCAGAAAGCTCCTTGTTTTTTTCAACTAATGAAAAAAAATAATCTTTTCTACTTTCTCTTTCAGAATTGGCATCAGCATAATTAAGTATTTCACTGTAAATTTTATATAAAAATTTCTTTCTTTCTTGTGATAACGATGATAATAGGTCAACATATGACATTATTATTATATAAAAATATAATATATAAATTCGACTTGGTGTTTTAATGATGTAGATATATTTTTGAGAATAAAAGTTGCCGTGTTACGTACGGTTCCTCACTAAATGTCGTAATTTGTGTGTAGATTTTATATTTTGTGTAATATTTTATTAACAATTTTACCCAAATTTGGATGCACGGGAAACATTATGTTATAAAGAAGACTTGTTAAAGACTTGAGACTGTAAATCTGGTCAGTTACGGTAACGAATCACGAATCTTCTAAA